AAATGACTTGATTTATGGTATACTGTAGAGTAAAGTAAAATCCCTATCTCCGTTAACCTGTGCATTGTGCATCATCTTTACATATAGATTTTATTTAAGCAGATGTTAGGAATTTTTACGTTCTACCCTTTGCTATATATTCATCTGATCCTTGGTTTTTATTACTGACTTCTTTGTCAGGTCAATTCATAATTTTTTTCCCCTACATTATACTTTTTTATATAAATGATGCTTAATTGACGTGTCCAGAAAGGAAGATCTTAGACCTTCATCTGGAGTCAAACAGAATAGTTTGTTACAGATGCATTTTATCTTTGATATATGCTATGAAAATTGGCAGTTGCATTCTGGATCATCATACTTGCATGAGTAAGGGCTATTTGTATGAGTAGTGGAGTACAGGGTGAGGTCCTAGGTCAGTCTGGAATATTATTTTTGTTTCAATCATGCATGTGGAACAGGGTGGGTCTATCATCGGTATTACAGAAATGAAATTCCTTTCACAGTATATTAATTTCCCTTTGATTAAATTATGATCCGTACTTGTTCATTATCTTTTATTCACATAATAACCTTTTGCTAATTGAGTCTCCAAACCAAAATTGGCAAATTTGAAATATCCCTCAGAGGTGCAAACTATCTGTGCATTGAATGGTCGTTTTTAATTAAAATTTACAAGAGTTTCAGGATGGGTAGTGAGACTGGTGTCCGACACATGCTGCTGTTTCTAGCTTGAGTTCTTACTGCCTTGTCCATTAACTCTTTGGAGACCAGACAAAACTCTGATCCCAGTCTGGCACTAGGATCTGCTAGTCTAGATATCTCCATCCATGTGGAGTCCTGATAAAGTTATTCAGACTCTACATAGGTGCAGAGCGTTATTCATATGTATCCTCATTTTAAAAACCTCATTTTTGTTGGCATTTCTGAATTTGCCAGATTGTGAGTTAAGACCAGGAAATATGTTTGACTCTTTCAAAGATACTTTGCTAAGTGATACAGCTGGGGAAATGCTACCACATCATGGAAATCATAATGAACAATCTCTTCAAGATCTTTTTGATTTGGATGATTAAAATTTAGAAACTGATTTTAAGCCCATCACTAAAATGAGGCTAATGAAGTGACTGCTTTGCACCGTCCTGTCTCCTTTCCTAGGATGAGACTACCCATCTTATTTCTGAGCTGTCCACTCAGCTGAAACTGGAAGAGCCAAATGCAGAAGATGAACGGAAGAAGTGGGAGGAAGGCCGTATGGACTACATGGGGAAGGATGCTTTTGAACATATTAAAAAGAAATTGGATACATTTTTAAAGTAGACTTAATTGTAATGCAATATATTGACCAGCCACTGTTTGCATTTGTGGTGTACATGCAACCCCTGGGATGTTTATCTTCCTTTGATATTGAAGTTAAAATGGACCTCCTCTATTTTAAGAAAAAAATTGCAAACATAGCACCACTAATTTTTTAACTCTGGTGTGTGCCTCATATTGATTGTTGACCTAGAGTGCCTCACGAAATAGTAGTGCAGAAATTGTGACATCTCCACTTGATATCCCTGCATTAAGGAAAAAGTCCTATAGTATTCTGCAGTAATATCCAAAATATTAGAACTGATAACATTAAACTTCCAGAGGATCCTTAGATTAATCTAGAGGATTTCCACCTTTAGAAAATGTTGCAAAACCTTTTTTATGAAAGCTTTTCCACTGGAACCAAAGTGACATTCACACCATTAACCATTATACATAAGCTGACAAAGGGGAAAAGCCAAAGGAGGAAACCCTGGCTCCACTGAAATCAAAACTCCCGTTGACTTCAGTGGGGCTAGGCCTTCACCTGGATACTCCAAGAAGTCTACTTGCTCTTCTACTTTAGGTGGAAGGTGCTCAGGTACATAGCTAATGGGCAACAGTACAACTCTAAAATAGATGGTAATGGTGTTACTAGTTTCTTTTGGATCATTGCGATAAACTGCTACAGGATTTTTATATGTTACCTCACTCTGTATATTCAGGGTTTCTCATGTTTTATTATGTATTTTATTAGCTAAATGGTTGAGAGAGAAAAAAACACTGTATAGGCCTTCATAACTAACAGCTGTTCTGCCTCATTGTGGTGCTTGAAATGAATTTGTTTACTAGTGCTCCAAACTGCATTTCACCAAGGCACTAAATCCATTAGATGGTACTTATCTATATTGCAGGCAGTTTGGGTGCATCTGAGACAGATAACTGATACCTATTTAATAAAACAGCTATTTATTAGCTATAAATTAAAGGCCTATTTCCAGAAACCAATACAACTGTGTGTATGGTTACTGTCAGTGGGACCGTGCTGTATTAACTATACTTGTGAGGGTACTCCTTTGCAGATTTGGGCCTTTAGATGTAACTTTAATCGTGTTGTTAAATAAAAATAAATACATTTCAGAAGACTGAGAAACTTGACAGATTTTCTAATTTGGTAACTCTTGCATTTCAGCTTGAAACTTCAGCTCTGGTAATACCAGAGAGAGAAATTAGTTATACAACACTTGATGCAGGACTTCTTTAAACATTTTGGGTCATATTGTGTCACCAGTTTTTAAGTTGCAGAACTATCTAATGAAATCATTTGGGAACTCCGCTTAAAAAAAAAAATCAATGGCATAATATATTGCTCCTTGGTAAGAGGAATGTACACAGAATTCTACTGAGGAAAAGAAAAGGTAGCTTTTATTTTTTACCTCAATGCTTGCAGACTATTGCTGGACAGTGACAAGAGATGCTCCATTTAATGAATACAAGAGACAAGCCAAGAAGCGCCAAGTAGACACTGAATAGGACTAACTATGTACATAATAGTTTTTTGCCTTTGTTTCATAAAAAAATTTATTTATATAACCCTTTTGCTGATTTTTAAAGTATCCCATAAACAGGACAGGTGAAATAGTATCATGT